AGCTGCCCGTAGTCCTGGCACAGGGCTGGGCAAGCAGGCAGGGTCCGAGGGCACCGGCACTGCCCCGGGGATCGGACGCAGCCCAGGCTGCACGGCTGAATCCAGTGGATCTGCTTCCTTAGGCATCCAGCTCGCTGCCCGCTGGGCACGTCCAGCCAGTCCATCTTGCCACTGGGCACGGAGAGCCTACCCCTGCCCCGTCCGAGGGACGGCAACCAGGGGCCCGACATGTCTCAGGCCACATCATGGCCACGCTGAACCCGTGGGTTACTTACATGATATTTTTATTCTGCCCCCATGGGAATGGGCCCATCTCCGGCGTTGGCCCAGGGCTGCCCTGGGATGGGTGCAGCTTGTGGACTGTCTGTGAGGTTCGGGCCCCCGCAGCACAGCTGGGCACAGCTGGCACGCACCGACCGACTCAGCCGCAGGTGGGAAGGAATCCAGCTGCAGGTAGGAAACGCTTGATCCCGACCGTCTCCCTCCGTGCGGGGAGCTGGCTGCTGGATTTGTCACCGCTGACGGGGTGCCTGGTTGCAGCGGGAGGGGTGTAGCCACAGCCCTGCTCTGCTTTGCAGTGCACGCGGGGGTGCAGCCCCCACCCTGGGGAGCCAGGCTGCTCCTAACACCGTCCACACCACTTCCTAAGACCCCCCCGGGCCAATTTGGGATCCTCTCTTGTGCCCAGGCCTGGCCCTAGCTAGGGTGGGGGGCCTGCCTCCAACGGCATGGCTGATGGGAGCTGTGCTCACCTGCCAGCGGGTCCGAGAGCCTGGGCGAGGGGCCTGGGGTGCTGAGCCGGGTGCAGCTGCAAAGCGAGCTGTAGCCAGCCCTGCGTCCCCTGGCAGGGGGTGGGGGCATGGGGTGGCTTGGTCCCAGGACGTGAGCCAACCAGGGGTCGAGGGGCTCCCTTGGGGAGCTGGGGGCGCTGCTCTGGTTGACCTCTCCCCACCCTCGGGGGCTGCTTTTGCCCCGGTGCAAGACCACCCCTCAAGGTGTCGTGCCACCCGGCCCCTCCAGACTCACCCTTGCCCCGTGCCCTCACTCCCGTCTCCCATCAAACGCAGCATCGCCGATTCATCGCCCTCGAAGCATGTAGCACATCAGCTCGACTGCGAGAGAAGCCAGAGCTCCGGGTCTTCGGTGGCCCCCGGCTTGAAGGAGGTTCTCCGCGGGACGTTAGCAGTGTAGGGGCTATGAGATGGGGTGGAGCAGTGCCCACTGCCCAGCCCAGGGCCGTGGAGACCAGCCTTCGCGTGGCAGGGCCCTGGGGCACGCACGGTCTGTCGCCGGTGCTCGGGGCAGCCTGGTCTGTGCACCGGGGCTCAGCCACGAGCAATGATGGGAGAGGAGGAGAGAGGGCGGACCCGCTCCAGGGCACTAAATGCCCTTCCCCAGGGCCCTGCGGGTGTCAGGCCCGGCGTTTGCAAGAGCAGGGGAGGAATACGGAAGCTGTGGGCCCGGGCCCTGGGGAGGGCTCCCCCGGCCCGGTACCGCTCACCCCTCATTCAGGATTTGTGGTGGGACGGCTGCAGAGAAGGGCCGCCAAGGGGTCAGGAGCTGGGCGAGCCCGGCTCACGAGGGGCGGCTGGAGCCTGGCTGGGAGGCTGCTCTGCTTTCTGCTCCCCATCCTGCACTCCCTGCCCCGTCAGCTGCTCTGCTTTCTGCTCCCTGCCCCGTCAGCTGCTCTGCTTTCTGCTCCCCATCCTGCACTCCCTGCCCCGTCAGCTGCTCTGCTTTCTGCTCCCTGCCCCATCAGCTGCTCTGCTTTCTGCTCCCTGCCCTGTGCTGCTTGTGCCCTCCCGGATCGGCTGCATGCCGCACAGGGAGGCTGCCTGTGCCCCTGGTAGCCCACAGGCTGTGCCTTGGCCACCCCTGGTTTCACCAAGGCTGCCCGCAGGCCTGGAGGCCGTGGCAGGCCAGGAGCACATTTGCTGCAGCCCCCCTGGGCTGTGCCCTTGCTTTTCCCATCTCTCCTTCCCTCCCAGAGCCAGTGCGGTGCATTGTGGGAGTTGTAGTGCGAAGGCAGAGGTGGCTGTGTTAGCTTTCTCCTTGCGTCGCCCTCTCTCCCTGTGCCCAGGTGCTGATGTTTGCATGGTGGATGCAGAGACCAGCTGCTACGAGTGGGGAAGAAGGTGGCTCCTGCTCCCAGCCTGGAGACCGCCCAAGTGCCCGCTGCACCTTGGGGAGACCCCAGAGCCCCAAGCCAGACACGCTCTAGCCCCCGGCCCGTGGCCGCAGGGCTCACCGCCCCCCACCCTGGTCAGGCCCCAGCTGCGGGCAGCTCTGGGCTCTGCAATTTAAGGAGAGACCAGCGGGGCTCAGAGGTGAGCGACAGAGGGGGTGCAGCTCAGGGCCCCGGGGGTCGGGGCAGTGCTTGGCACAGCTGAAAACCAAGTTGCCTCTGCGAGCTGCTGCCGGGCCCAGACACCTCTAAGCTGGGCCTGGAGACTCGTGGCCCCCCCCGCCCAGTAGCTCCAAAGAGAGTAAAAGCCTCTGTGCTGGGGGCAGCTGGGAAGCAGAAACCCGTTGCAAGGGAGAGGCAGAAACGCCTCGGTGGCTTGGGATGCTTTTGACTGAGGGGGAGAAGCGCTGCCCAGAGCTCGGAGGAAGAGCCCAGGAGCGTTCCCATGACTGAGCAAGAGAAATGCCCCCTGCCCATGCAGCGCCCCTCCCACCCGCCATGAAACAGGCCTGTGTCATATCACAAATTATCTTTATTGTCCCGGGTGATTGTAAACAAGAGCACGGCGCTTCCCCGCCCCGACGGCGCCGGCCGTGCAGCCCAGCAGCAAGAGTTCACGTTGCCCGGGTGCCTCTCGCACGCGCTTCCTCTCCAGGGTTGTGCAGCTCGGAAGAAGGTACAGTACAGCGAACAGCGGTCCCTGGGCGGGCTTGCATTTGGCCAGCACACGGTCTGCCTCCGGCGGGGCAGAAGCATTAGTTAATTCAAGAGTTTCTAGTGCAATGGTTGAGAAAGCAACTCCGATAACCTGAGCCCTTGGATTTCGATAGGCACGGTCTAGTACGACAGTATTCCCTTTTTATTCCAGTCGCATATACACGTCACGGTTAGACACACCACCGGTTCCCAACACGGACCGGTCCCTATTATTCAACATGCAGAAAGGATCCTTCACTATTCTCGGTATTAAACCAGACTGAACGCTAGAGGGCAGCAAATTACACAGTTGGGGGGAAAAAATCTATTGTCTGGAAGAGGCTGGTCATAAATAACAATAAATTAATAAATAATGCATGAATGGTTTAAAAAAAAAAAAACCCAACAAAAACCTGGTGTCTCTCCGGCCCGTCGTTTTTTGGGGAGGGTGAAATGACGGAGCTTTTTTTTTTTTTTTTTTAATGTAGAAAATAACCTTTCTGAGGTCGTTAACAAAGCTGTAGAAAAGCAACCCAAAAAAGAAAATAAAGGATGGAAGGTTTCAGGTTTTGGTGAGAGAGGGACTTTTTCTGTAATAAAAAAAAATAAAATAATTACACGTCTTTAACAAGTTTCAAAGCAAATGCGACGCTGGCTCGGTCTCACGCACACGCTCCTCCAGGCACGCTCGCGCAGGCGCACGTTTCTTATGGATAAAAATAAATATATCTCTATATATTTTTTTTTTCCTTCTGTAAATTCGAAAAGTGGAAAAATAAAGGGAGAGGCTCTCACGCACACCGGGCACCGGGGATCTGGAAGAGAGATGCCTGCGAGAGGGCTCTCAGTCTGTGATTGTGCAAAAAACAGGCCATGGCATGTGCAAATGAGTCTTTGGAGAAGGCTGATGAGCTAGACGTCACTCGGAGATCTGGACCGGAAAGGCATCGTGGTGGAAAAGCACCCGCAGCACACGGTCCACAGCACTTTCTGGATCTCCTGGTTGCGGAAGGCATAGATAACGGGGTTGATCATGGAGTTGTAGGTGGCGGGGAGGATGGTGATGTAGGTGTAGAGAGGCGGGTAGGTGTAATCGCCCAGGAGGCAATAGATGGCAAAGGGCAGCCAGCAGGAAGCGAAGGTGCCTAGGATGATGGCTAGGGTGGCAATGCCCTTCCGGGTGGTGACGTAGTGCGAGGTGGCCAAGAAATGCCTCTGCACGGCGATCTGGTGGGCGTGCCGGCACACGATCTTGCAGATCTGCGCGTACAGCTGGAGCATCACGGCAAAGACCATGAAGAAGGAGACGGAGAGGATGACGAGGTGGTTCTTCGTCAGCGGCTTCACGACGCTGCAGGTGGAGACGTCCTTCAGGCAGTTCCAGCCCATGACGGGCAGCAGCCCGTAGCACACGGAGACCCCCCAGGTCAGGATGAGCATGACGTAAGTCCGGGTGACCGTGTGCTCCGAGTAGTAGGTCAGCGCGTTGTAGAGCGAGAGGTAGCGGTCGATGGTGATGGCCAGCAGGCTGCCCACGCTGGCCGCGAAGGAGGTCACCAGCAGCCCCACAGTGACCAGGTCCACGGCCTGGGACCGGACGCAGTACACAAAGGCAAAGTGGAATATGAGCCCCAGGCCGGCCAGGAGGTCGGCGGTGGCCAGGCTCCCGATGAGCACGAACATGGGCGTGCGGAAGGCCGGCGTGTAGAAGATGATGGCCACCACCACGGCGTTCTCGCAGGAGATGACGGTCCCGGACACGCACAGCACCACGTCCCAGGGGTTGAGGGCGAGCGGGCGCTCCGCGGAGTCCAGGTGCAGGGA